CAAAACCCACGTAAATTTGTCGGAAAACCTTTTATAATGTGTTTATCTACAATATTTTTTAAATGCATATTTCATAATCTTAATTTAATTTGATTTTATTTGAAAATCATATACTTATTAAATATCATTGAAAAATATATCATTTTAAAACAAATAAAAATAAATACCCTTGTAAATAAATAAAATGTGTGCGTGTAAGGAATTTCCCGCCTGTTGACAGTCAGGCGCCAACAGTTACTGTTGATATGAGTTGAGCGGTTTAATTGGAGGTTGATGTATTTATTGTGTATTGATCGCAATAAATCAGGGAAAAATATGAACAGACTCACGAAGCGACACTGATATTGCTGATGTATTGCAGAAATAGGCAAGGAGAATGGTTCTCCAGAATTTTTATTGAGAGAATATATAGTGATGTGTAACAGCTATATAAATATATGAGATGATTTCTTATATATTCTTTTATGTGATTAGATATTATTTTTCATGTGTGGATCCTTTATTTTTCTAGGACCAGAAGGAGTCGATATTTATACATAAAAAAAAAGTGAAAAAGCAATAAAGGCTCGGTGCCAGCTAGGGGCGTAAGGTGGTGTCGTGTGTATTCATGTAAACTCTTCTTTTGAAGATGGGACGACTTGGGCGGTGGCATCAGCTTTATCAGTTTGGTGTTCAGATGAGGAGAGATCATCATTCTTCCAAGAGAAGACTCAGGGGCTGATTGACAAGGACTGACTTCGACCGATCGGAGGATTGACATACCTAACTTCTCGTCTTGGACTATTTGCAAGGTGGTCCGCACTCCTTATGGGTCGTCTATTGAGGGGATTAGTGTAGGCCTAATTACGCGTCTCGGCTTTACTCTTGGTGTCGTGCTTTTATAAAATTTTGGGTACAACGTAGAGACCCCCAGGTTTCCATGTGTGGATGGATCACCGAGATGTCTAAAAGCTATAAACTCAATTTTTTGCCGATCAGGCAACGATTATGTTGAGAAGATTTCTCTTCAGTCGGGACAATAAATGAAGGAATGCAACTTGCAGATTTTTTTTGTTTATGAAGAAACACCCAGGAAGGGTCAGAGATTAAGGTCTGATCCCAACCTTTAAATAGTCAAGACCCTAATTGGGCTTAATAGATAACAGGTCTACACTTGTTTAGAAAATGAAAAACAACAACCAAAACGAAAATTTAAACCCGGACAGACAGGTACCCAGACCAATAGTCTACAACAACAACTGGGCTAAAATACAAAAAGTACAAACTGACAACTAAAATCTAAAAGAAGGGTAATCAAGTTGGTCCATCCGCAAAAGAGTACGAAGGCAGGGAGGGGCGTCGTAAGGGTGGAGAATACGCCTCTAGGGTGTGGAGGCACCGAGGTTGGCCTAGAAGTCTGCGAGTCGGTTCCTCTCGCAGAAGATGTGCGAAATCCATTAGCGAACCGACTGAAGTGTGGATCTGATGTACATGAGCGGGTGTTGAATCTGCTACGAGCCCTGGTGGCCTGAGGTCAAGAGGGTAACAATAGTGGTTAGCATCCAGCTTAATCCAAATGTGAGTAGAGATAGAAGCTGCAATCTGAAGACTTATCTGGAGCGCCTGAACCTCCGCGTCGTAGCTCGAAGAGGCCTAAAGAGGAGCGTGGAAGGCGGTAATGAGAGCTCTGTTGTGATCCCTAATGAAGCCTCCACCTCCGGCGACTCTAGTGAGTCAGTCGAAAGATCTTTCGGTGTTCAGCTTAACCCAAATAGAGATGGAGAGATGTCGATCAACCAACAAAACAATGTGAGAGCACATAAAAGTAATATTCATATGTTTCGCACTATTCCTCTCTATCTAAGTGAACCACAGGATCAGACAGAGAATAAGCCCACGTGTCTAAAGTGTGTGTGTTGTGAAAAAAAAACTCAGGAGCACAAAGAAACTGTCTGTAGTGGGTAGGGATATATGACTATAGGTGACTAAATGCTCCCACGCTCTCCTCGCAACCTCGCTCTCTAAAAACAAGTGGGAAAGAGTCTCAGTCTGGAAATAACCGGTCTAAATAAGTCTTAATCGGATTTTAAGGGGTATCTTTTCAGACGTGTCTCTTGGTCTTCGTGCTTTAATTTGATGGAGAACTGAAAATTTCTTCAATAAACAGAGAGTTCCTCTTTAGTTGTCATTATTGCGCCTTTTGAACTTGTTAAAAAATAGCGAGCATTTTTGTATATGTCTTTATTCTTTTTTTATGCCTTTAAACCAAATATGTCAGATGTGAGTGACTATGAGGTGGAGGTGACCCCGGAGGAAGATCGCGAAATCCAAATTTCAATGCCGGAGGATTGTTGGCATCGTATGTCGATGTAGGAGCCATCAGAGCAGGGGGATATGGAGATGCAAGGTTGTGAGCGCTCTGTGGGTTAGCGAACTGGTAAAGTTGCGGGAGAAATATGAAATACCAGAGATGGTGAAAATATTTGCTCCGTACGAAGGGGAATTGGCCCACTGTCCTCAGCGGTGGAGCATCGTCGTGCATCAAGAATCCATAGTACTGGGCTGAGGTTTCCACTTCCTCCGATAACATCAAAATATCCGAAGAATTAGGAGATCGGCATCTCCAACTCCAACCATCACCCTAAAAATCATGAAGCAATCAATGTTATTTTTTTAAATAGTTTCTAGTTTGTTAGAAACACAATATTTAAATATAAAAAAAAAGAACATAAATAGAAATTAGTCAAAAAACAACAAAGCAGAAACAATTTTTTGAACTAGCCAACTTGCAAAGCAACAATTTTTTGAACTAACAAGAAATAGTTTCTTGAACAAGAAACAGTTTCTTGAATGTCTCTTGTTCAAGAAACAACTGTTTCTTCAGTTTCTTGAATGTTTCTTGTTCAAGAATCTATTTCTCTAAGAAAAAGAATCAAGAAACAAGAAAATGATTATTGTTTAGTTTCTTGAACAAAAAATAGAAGTTTTTTCACGTAAAATACAAAACTCTTTCTTGAGCAAAAAAACATAAACTCCTTAGTTTTTTGAACAAAAAAATAGAAGTTTTTTCATATAAACTACAAAACTTTTTCTTGAGAAAAAAACAAAACCTCTTTAGTTTCTTGAACAAAAACACAGAAGTTTTTTCACATAAACTACAAAACTCTTTCCTGAGCAAAAAACACAAACTCATTAGTTTCTTGAAAAAAAAAACAAATTTTTTTATACATAAACTACAAAACTCTTCCTTGATAAAAAAACATCATAACTTATTAGTAGATGTCATCTCCACCGTGTTCCAAGAATTAGCGCCAAAAAGAGGTAAGAGGTTTGTTTGAAGATCATTTTTAAATTAAGAAAATGAAGAAATGCCTCAATTTACATTTCTACAAAATTGAAAATTGAAGAAAAATATCCTGAAAAGGGTACACTTAATGTTGAATATCCCATTCCAAAAGGCATACAACAAAAAAATGGCATGTAGCAGGTGAAAATTAACAACACCAATTAATAAACAAGTAAAACAACAACAATCTAAGGATAAGAAGCCACTAAGAAACAAAACTAAGATAAAAACTAACCCCAATAACAAACTAACAAACAAGCAACAAAACCTTATACTACACCAAGAACGTCAGAAAATAAAGAAACTACAAAACAATAAACAACAAAGAAAAACACCACCAACCAGCCAAAAGATAACCAAAAGACAAGAGAAAAATACAATAGGACCCTGAAAGAGCACACAAGCTTTAGGTACAAGCCCCACTGATATTCAGCAGCAAATTTTTGTAACTTCTTTAAGCCATTTTAGATCAAATTTTTATTTTACCGAGCAGCTATTAAAGTTTGCATTTGAGCAGACTAGTACCGGCTAGAGAATCACCAAGATGACTGAACTTCTTCACTGTATCAAAGTAGTAGCAAAAGCCCGATTAACTAAGAACTGAAGACATAAATACGTAGCATACAACTCAAACGCAGATGAAGCTAATGACGTGAAATCACTAAACCATCGTTGGGAATATAGATATTTTCTAATAGAGTAATAAGAACATGAAAAACAAAATACCACTTCAGGCTTCAATAAAACAATTTTGGGAAACATCAACTTACTTGTTCTAAAGGTAAAAAAAACAATGAAGCACTAGATGTCTTGCTCTACCTTGCCTGTCAATGTCAATGAACCTCCTTTTGTTCCAGAAGCTGCATGCACCAGGAAAAGAGAGCAAAAAATTAGCTGATATGTGAATTTCATAGCACAAAACAATAATAGCCGAGCACTCGACAAAAAGAAAGTTATGTATCCCATTACAAGAGAACCATATTCAACGATATCAAACCAAAAATATATAATGCAAGCAGCACCAGAAGCAACAACTCTAAATTCTATGACTCATACAACAGAGGTCTGATTAGCATCTTAGAGAATATGCATTTTCACATTTCTGAAACCATCGTCCTACTTTTATCTCCTTCTTTGTGGGCATTTCTATAAGATATTTTATCTGTTACTTAGTTACTCGCCTAGATATTAAATGCTCACGTGAATAACTTTATGATGGAGACGAGGTTGCCTTGACATATTTGGATAAATTTGATCGACTCCGGATTTAGCTCTTTATTTATTTCTATTTTCCCTTTCATTTTATTATTCAGTTTCTTTATTTCTTATTATAGACTAGGTAAGTAAATAATGTCCTTGCAGTTGTTTGGCAAGTGTGGACTCTCATTTTTATTTATTATCTGGTGTAAGACTTCAGAACGACGATTATTGAAGTTTATGAAATTATCTGGTTCTATTTCATGAGAGAGTATCTCGATCTTCCCTGTTTTCATATCACGTTCTACATCAGTTGGTATCCAGAGATCAGCAACGATCCGCGATGCCGCCTAAGAGAGGACAAGCCGTAATCAACAACATCATTGAGGAGCGATTCCAGAGGATGGATGATCGCTTTCACGGGATGGACGAATGATTTATGGATCTCTCATCCGGAATTGAGGAGTTGCGGGATGCGATGCGGACTATGATGGACGAGATCCGTACGAATCGCGCTGCCGGCGTCCGAAGCACGCGTGGAGGGGCTCGCGGAGGACATGGAGGACGCGGCTTTGGCGGGGCGCCCCGCCAGCGTTCACCACCGACTCCGTCCGGCGACGAGGCGGACGAGGAGACCATTAGCGTGGACAATCCGTTCGCGACGGAGCGGCGCCGTCGGCTTGCGGGCGACGATGGTGGCGGTCACGGGAGTTTTGGCGGAGACTTTGACAACGACGACGACAATGGCGGACAGCGCCATGCCTGGGGGCAGTGCGACGACAATCAGCGGTGTCGTGAGGCTTTCGTTGACGATGTGGGCGGTGAACGATGGGGTAGAAAACGACATGACGGCAGACGCCCGATAGAAGGGGGTGATGGGTCACGTTGGGACCAAGGGTTTCGTGTGGATATTCTAGAATTTGTGGGTAGTACGGATGGGTCGGAATTCCTCGAGTGGTGGGCTGCGGTCGAGGCCTTCCTCCGATTTAAGGATGTTCCAGATGACAAGCTAGTGGATTTGGTGGCTACTAGATTTCGTGGGCGTGCAACGACTTGGTGGATGCAATTGACCAGTATGCGGCGTCGTCAGGGAAAACCGATCATCACTTCATGGATGAAGTTTCAAGAATTAGTAGAACGTGAATTTGTTCCATTTAATTTTGATAGCATTGTGTACCAACAGCTGCAAAATTTGCGTTAAGGGGCATGGTCGGTGGACGATTACACTAATGACTTCTATCGACTCTTAACCCGTGTGGAGCTACGCGAAACGAAAAATCAATTGGTGTCTTGCTATGTGGGTGGACTTCGACAGGGCATACGTGACACGTTGAATCTTTTTCGCCCGGAGATGATTTTGGATGCTCATCAACGAGCACTCCTCGTTGAGTATCAATTGGCACAAAAGTCGGGACCCTCCTTTGTTTCTTCTTCGTGGCAGGGCATGTCGTTCGGAGTAGGTGGTCAGTCCATGCGTGGAACTCCGGCGGTTGACGGAGAATTGGGCCAGGGTACGGCAGCGAGCCGGTTTCCATCATCCAGTGGGTCACAACTGCGACAAGACGGGACCACGAGTCCGCAGATGGCGTCGACGGGAACATGTGATGTGGCCTGGCTGCGATGCTTCAGTTGTGGTGAGGTGGATTATCATCAAGCAGTTTGTCCATGGAATGGTAATACTCGCGCATTATTCTCGGAGGAGGTCTACGATGATGTTGTGACGAACGGTTATGAGGGGCGGCCCATCTTCGATGCCGAACCGGGCGAGGCGGAGGAATATGTCTCTAGTGATGTGGGGATGGCGCTTATGATTCAGTGGACATGTCTCGCACCGAGGGGTTCTAATGAATTGGAGAGGAACCATCTTTTCGAGTCCACATGCACGGTCGGGAACAAGATATGTCGTTTTATTATCGATTCGGGCTCGTGTGAGAATGTTATTGCGAAGGAGGTGGTGGACAAGTTGAAGTTGTCGTGTGAGCCTCATCCATGCCCTTATACGCTCGCATGGATCCAAAAGGGTAATACGGTTACTGTTGATCGTCGGGCACTTGTCTCTTTCTCCATTGGCCCAACTTATCGCGATCAAGTCTGGTGCGATGTCGTTCCAATGGACGCGTGCCATTTACTTTGGGGCCGTCCGTGGCAGTTTGATCATGCGGCAATGCACGATGGTCGCCTCGACAGGTACTCGTTTTTTTTTTTGGCGGCGTCACAATTATTTTGCTACCCAACACACTTTGTTCGGCGCCACAGCCCGCCACGACGTCGCCGGTCCTTTTCCTTTCACGGTCGGGTTTTTTGTTCGAAATGAGGACGTCCTCCTTCGTGTTGTTGATGGTGGGCGCAGATATAACCGACGACAGGGAACCTCCCGCGTCAATCAACCCGTTACTATTAGAGTTTGCTGACATCTTTCCAGCTGATATTCCTTCGGGACTACCGCCTCTACGAGACATACAACACCATATTGATTTGGTCCCGGGAGCGTCGTTACCAAATAGGCCTCAATACCGCATGAGTCCGACTGAGCACGAGGAATTGAGACGGCAAGTTGAGGAGCTTCTCCAACGTGGAGTCGTGCGCCGGAGTCTGAGTCCATGTGCGGTGCCGGCTCTCTTTATTCCAAAACAAAATAGTACATGGCGTATGTGTTGACAGCCGTGCAATCAACAACATAACTTTCCGTTACCGATTCCCGATTCCTCGCCTCGATGACCTATTGGACCAGTTGCATGGTGCTTCTGTTTTCACCAAGCTCGACCTTCGTAGCGGTTATCACCAAATTCAGATTAGGCCGGGTGATGAGTGAAAGACAACTTTTAAGATCCGGGAAGGCTTATTCGAATGGTTGGTGTGTTGGGATCTGTGAGGATCTCGTTATGTACAAATCACGAATTCAATAGCAAACGTAAACCTATGCGCAGCGGATCTAAAGGTTTGACGTAGAAAACTTACGACTTAAAATTTATGTAGATCTGGTTGACCACGAACGGTTGACCGCAAATCACGTCTTGGGTTGCACGAACAAGATCAGATCAAAACCGGATCAAACGGATGCAAACAGATCAAAACGAGTTTTTGTAGTCAGGCTCCTTCCGGCGGAGCGTGAGGGCGCGTCCGGTGTCGGATTTCGGCGATCTCGGCGGCGATGGAAAGCTCTCGTCTAGACGGTCGTCTGGGTATATTGTACGTCTCAATCGGATTTCCGGTTAGTTCTGTAGATCAAATTATATTTCGTCTCGGTTTACCTACAGATCTTCTACTGTATTACTCAATACACCCTTCTTCAACTTGTACCAGTGGAGCAACAAGAAGAAGATAAAGCTCGAATGAGATCTAGAGAGAGAGAAGCGTGGGGCGTGTATATTTCGTGAATATAGGATTGGGTTTCTCTTCTCATGAGCTTAATGATGTATATATAGAGCTACAGTAGGGACCCTAAGGAGATTAGGAAAAGGGCTCCTTAATTAATTAAACTAACTGTGGGCCAAGCCCACTCCTCTAATTAATTAAATAATATTAATGGGCCACCAACATTATATTATTGCACTCCCTCTTCCTAGCCCAAATTACATTTCAGACTCCAATAATAATTACTCGATTTACCTCCCCTCGTTTAAGATATAATGTCCATTAATTAATTCGATTACTGACAATCAAGAATTAATTAATTTATTATTATTTCACCGAAGCTAGCGCTCGTTCATCACATTCTTATTATGCCGGAACTTAATCCACCTGCAGGGTTTAGCATAACAATCCCTCATGAACTCACTCCGGGGACATCATCAAACTAACGCACATGGTGACCGTAAATATCCTAACAGCACATCCTATATATAATAATATTACCCAAAACAGTAGGAATATTAATCCAGCGAACTGAACCTCACCCATGTGAATCAAAGTAATATATATTATATATATCTGCCTGTTTAATATCTTACGGGTTAAGAGAACGCAGTAATTAACCGAGGCCTAGTTCATTTACGACGATCAGTATAAAATGAACTTCTCCTCTCTGGGATCCTGTTCAATACATAAATGTACTAGTGCAACTAATCAGTCAAGACAAACTGTACAGTTGACACTACAACCGTTCGGATGGGGTGTTCATGTCCATCTAGGTTGTGAACAACTATTCTTGTTCGCAAGTGACTGATAGAGTGATCTTCGGTTCGCCCGATGACGACCCACCCTATCTAAGTGCAGAACAACAGAACGTAGAACTTGTTTAATCTAACATGATTCTCATTCATAAAGGGTAAATGTGTAATAACATGCAAAGCCAAGCTTTCAGTATATAACACTAACAATCTCCCACTTATACTTAAAGCTTTCGCTTTTACAGTATAGTCCTATCAATCCGTTATTCTAAAAGACCTATGTCGATCCTATTGCCATGCATCCTCTGATGCAATCTTGGCAACATCAACATCTCCTCTACCAACGATATCCCGAATCAGATGGTATTTGCGCTCTATGTGTTTGCTTGCCCTGTGGGCTCGAGGTTCTTTTGAGTTCGCTACTGCTCCACTGTTATCACAGTACACGGTGATACCACGTGGCAAACTCGGTATAACCTCTAAGTCCACTAAGAAGTTCCTGAGCCAAACTGCCTCTTTCGCTGCCTCTGAGGCTGCTATGTACTCGGCTTCCATGGTGGAGTCTGCCACGCATTTCTGCTTAGCACTCCTCCATGAAATGGCTCCACTTCCCAAGGTAAACACATAACCTGAGGTTGACTTACTTTCATCCTTATCTGACTGGAAATCAGAATCACTGTAACCCAGAGGTAACAAGCTGTCTGCACGGTAAACTAACATGTACTCCTTAGTCCTTCTCAGGTACTTGAGTATATGCTTCACCGCAGACCAATGTTCCCGTCCCGGATTACTTTGATATCTAGCTACCATGCCAACGGCGTAGCTAATATCTGGCTTAGTGCACAGCATTGCATACATGAGACTTCCTACTGCCGAAGCATAAGGAACTATCTTCATCTCCTCTATCTCCTTAGACGCCTTAGGAGACATCTCCTTAGATAGAGGTATTCCATGTCTGAAAGGTAACATACCTATCTTGGAATCCTGCATGCTGAATCTGGCCAAGACAGTATCTATGTATGAAGACTGGGATAAGCACAACATTCTCTTCTTACGGTCTCTAATGAGCCTAATACCAAGAATGTGTCCTGCTTCACCTAAGTCCTTCATATCAAACTGCTTAGACAACCACACCTTTACGTCTGATAACTCCTTCTTACTGTTTCCAATAAGCAGTATGTCATCTACGTAAAGCACAAGAAACACCACCACGCTCCCACTGATTTTCTTGTAAACACAGTGCTCATCCGGACATTGAGTGAACCCGTACGACTGGATCACCTCATCAAAACGGATGTTCCAAGATCTCGAAGCTTGCTTCAGTCCATAAATAGACCGATTAAGCTTACACACTAGATGCTCACGACCTTCAACAATGAATCCCTTTGGTTGCTGCATATAGATGTCTTCCTGCAGGTTCCCATTAAGGAAAGCTGTCTTGACATCCATCTGCCAGACCTCATAGTCCATATGAGCGGCTACAGCCAAGAGAATCCGAATGGACTTAAGCATAGCTACTGGCGAAAAGGTCTCATCATAATCAATACCCTCGATTTGGGTATAACCTTTCGCAACAAGCCTAGCCTTAAAGGTTTGCACCTTCCCACCCAATCCTCTATTTCTCTTATAGATCCACTTACATCCAATGGGTCGTACCCCATCGGGTGGTTCTACAAGATCCCAGACCTGATTAGAGTCTATTGACCCCATTTCAGGTTTCAGTGCAACATTCCATGAATCTGCATCTTTATCTTGGAGTGCCTCATCGTAAGTTCTTGGGTCTGATTCTAGGCCTCCTGGAACTGAGTCCGATGACTCTCCAAGACCTATCCATTGGTCGGGTAAATAAGAAACCCTCCCACTGCGACGAGGCACTGTCTGCACTGGTACACTCTCAGTGTGTCGTGTTGCAGTATTATGTGATGTATCTACTTGCGCACTCGGTGGGGAACCATCGATTTTACCCCTTAACTCCTCTAAGACTAGTCTACTCGCGGGCTTATGATTCATAATATAGTCTTCTTCTAAGAATCTAGCGTTCGTTGAAACGATCACCTTCTGATCCTCAGGACTATAAAATAATCCACCTTTTGTTCCCGTGGGATAGCCTACGAAAACTCGTGCTTCCGAACGTTTCTCCAACTTGCCAGGTTCCTGCACTAACACGTGTGCAGGACTACCCCAAACTCGAAGCTGTGAGAAACTGGGCTTGCGCCCTTTCCACATCTCATAAGGGGTAGTGTCAACTGACTTCGACGGAACCATGTTCAGAATATACGATGCCGTTTCCAATGCCAAACCCCAGAACGAATCTGGTAACCTCACCTAACCATCTCCATAAGTGTCCTATTTCTTCGCTCTGCAACCCCATTCTGCTGGGGCGTGCCGGGTGCAGTCAGTTGGGATTCAATCCCAGCTTCTGATAAGTATGTCCTGAACTCTCCAAAAAGGTATTCGCCACCTCGATCAGAACGAAGTGACTTCATACATTTACCATGAAGCTTCTCAACAACTGCCCGATACTCCTTGAATTTCTCAAAGCATTCGGACTTGCGGTGCAACAGATAAACGTACCCAAATCTCGAGTAATCATCTATGAAAGACACATAGTACTCGAAACCTCCTCTAGCATGGATCGACATAGGACCACACAAATCAGAATGAATCAATCCTAGCACTTCTTGGCTCCTATACCCCTTTGCCGTAAACGGCCTCTTGGCCATCTTGCCTTCCAGACATGATTCGCAAGTTGGATAGTGCTCTTCCAATGGACCGAGATGTCCACTGGCCACTAACTTTTGAATCCTTCTAAGGTTGATGTGCCCAAGTCTAAGGTGCCACAGATATGCTTGATTCATCTGCGAAGACTCCTTCCTCTTATTAGACGTAGTTATTACATTATTCAATTCATTATGTTGCACTGTGGGAGAGTTCGGTTTGAGAACATATAAATTGCCAACTAATGAACCACAATATATGAAACGATTTTCAAAACGAATAATAACCATGTCATCAAACGAAACTGAAAAACCATCCATAACAAGTTTAGAAACTGAAACAAGGTTCTTTCTAAAGCTAGGAACATAAAGGCAATTTCTCAAAACCAAACTACTACTATCAAATGATAAAGTAACGTCTCCCACTGCAACAGCCGCCACTTTCGTAGCATTGCCCATGTAGACTGTGATCTCTCCCTCCCTAAGTCGTTTGGTTTCCTGGAACCCCTGCAAAGAATTGCAGACATGATCAGTGGCTCCAGTATCTACACACCAGGTTCTGGTAGATACAACCGCTAAACATGTTTCTACGACATTAACGAGAGAGTTACCTTTCTTGAGGAGAGGGCAATCGACCTTCCAGTGTCCTGACTTATTGCACTTGTGGCATCTTCCTTTCGGTTTCTTTGCCACAGCCTGAGGGGTCGGTCGTGGGTAAACCATAGCATCTTGTGCCTTCGCCTTTCCTGCAGACTTCTTTCTCTTCCTGCCCTTGTGAGGCCTGGAAGGTCCAGCCTGCTCGGCGACTAGCACCTGAGGTGCTTAAGTGAATAAGGCCTCCGCCGACTGTAGCTCTGCAAGCAGTTTTGGAAGAGCCATATGCATCTTGTGCATGTTGTAGTTCAACCGGAACTGATCAAAGCTCTTTGGCAGAGATTGGAGCATAATATCAACCTGGGTTTCCCCGTCAATATAACCTCCCATAACCTCAAGCTCATTGAGCTGCGCCATAACCCTGAGAGCGTGCTCCCTTACGGGTGTGCCCTCGGCCATGCGCGTACTCATCAGAGCACTCAAAGCCTCTTGTCTAGCAGCCCTAGACTGATGTCCGAACAGATCCCTGAGATTGAGAAGTATATCTGCTGCAGTTTCCTTAGACTGATGCTGATGTTGAAGAACATTCGACATAGAAGCCAGAATGTAACACTTCGCCATCTCATCAGCCTTCTTCCACCGAGCATACTCCTCTTTCTTCTGCTCAGGAGCATCAGCCGCCGGCACCGCTGGGCAAGCATCAGTGATAGCAAACTTATAACCCTCAGCAGTCAACACTATGTCTAAGTT